GGTTGGTCTCAAATTCCTGGGCTTGAACGATCCACCTACCTCAGCCTCCCAAAGTGCTGGGATTACAGGCATGTGCCACCATGCCCGGCCCAGTTACAGTATTTTGGATACATATTTATTATGGAAAAATTACAGCCCTGGAAAATAAAAGAGTACAACGATCTTATTACATGTCTTTAAATAATCAAAATTTATAAAGACAACTAGAAAATGTAGTTTTAAAACTTTGATTCCAGGATGTATTAACAAAGTAGCTTAAAATACCTCAAATAAACAGCCCCGATACTGAAATTTCTTTAGTGCCAAAGAAACTTACTTGCTTTTAAAACCAAACAGCTTTTGAAGCAAACGCTCAACAATAACCACAGTTTTAATGCAGTCAATAGGCGATATAACACACGTATCTCAATCCCCAAAGGGAAGTATCAGGTATCATTCTGGAGTTACAAAACACCAACCTTTTTAATCGCATGTAGTTTTCACTGGCAGCTGGTCGGCATTCAGCTCTTTGTACCACTATTCCTTCCAATGACAGCTTATCTTGAATGGAAAAAAAAAAAAGTATTCAGAGATAACACTTATCATTTTCAAGACTGTATTTTAACACACTAAATACAGTAATATGACAATCAAATATAATAACAAAAATCAAGAAAAAATAGTTAAGTTTTAGGAATCTCACTGGTCAGAATAGAGAGAAACCTTTTTCTTGGCTTTGTAACAAACTGGGCTCCTGTCAGATTTGTTTATTAGGCTGCTGCAGCCCTTTGCCAGCAACAGCTTTTATACACTTAGCTCCTTCTAAATAAGGTGGCTTAAAAGGGCATAAAATCAAATTAAAGAGTATAAAGGCTATCGTCTTTGACAAAGTAACTTCTGAAAACACAGCTAGTCTAAACCACTAAATCAAAGACCGTGTGTGTGTGTGTGCGTGTGTGTGTATGTGCACAAATAGAATTCTCGAGTACCTTGTGACTAGAACAGTCAGCCCAGAAAATACTGTGGCACTGGGCAAGTCTACTGTCTGGGTTATACTGTGTACCAGTTCAGCCTGCCAGCTGCTCTGACTTCTGTTTTCCTGCAGAATTATAAATCTGGGCATGTCAAAACAGAATCTTTAACTGCTATGAATATCTGTCCAAACAGAAAGGCAATTTCCCCTATCCTTAGTAATTCTTACAGTGACCCTGACATAAAACCTAGGAGTAATCAGAAAAAGAAAGGCTAGCATCTATTGTGTGCCTACTGGCCACCAAGCATTGTGGTGTGGTCACTTGACAGACCTTACCTTATCATATAATACACATATAAATGTCTCATAATGGTACCAGCTTTATGATACCCTGGAAATGTATGACTGTGGTTAGAAACATTTAAGGTTCAGTCATATTTCCACAAGAATTCACCTGGGTTTTAAGAAGAGACTCAGGAAATTCCCTGGCTCATGAGTAGTGCATTTATGATTCATCTTTTCAGAGAGAATTACTTCATTCCACTAACATTAGCAAAATGTCTGCTATGCAAAAGGCCCCATCTAGGCATTGAGGAATCAAGATGATTAAGATACAGTACTGTTTTCAAGAAGCATACAGTTCACTGGGGGAGACAGATAAACTGATCAAAATGTAGAATGTGTATAGAACCATGCCTACATGATTTACACTAAAAAATATTTTTCTAGTGATCTTTGAATGTCTCCAAAATCTAGGGGATGCTGTACAAACTAATTACGAGCACACTGTATATAATCAATGTATCCAGGGTCCCTTAATGCAACATATGCAATGAATCTCAAGAAGATGCAGAAAGAGCAATGATGAGAAGCATGATTGCCTTATACCAAAATATGGCAGGAAGAAAATAGTTTAAAAGCCATAATTGTTTTATACTAAAGTTTAAATTCTACAAATAATTTCCTCGCATTAATGTCTTTAATAAAATTAAGATTTGAATTTTCTTAAAGCAAAAAGGTTATATTCAAGTTTGGCTCTTACTGAAGCTGAAAGTTCTATCAAGAAAAATTCTTTAGTCGTCACAACAATAGCAAGATTTGGGAAAATCTGATATATCAAATGTCTTAAATGCGTGAGGAAAGTCCAGTAAAGGAAGACAATTAATCCTTTAAAAAAATAAATCTAGGCAGGCCGTGGTGGCTCACAGCTGTAATCCCAGCACTTTGGGAGGCCGAGGCAGGCGGATCACAAGGTCAGGAGATCAAGACCAT